GAGCAACGCATCATTTAGATTTGGAAGCAGATATGTTAAAGTTACCACAAACATCGAACAAAAGTGCGAGAGCGGAATGTGGAGAATTCCCAGATAAATGTGGAGTTGTGTGGTCCGTGACTGATGAGATTCCACAAGAAGAGGAAAAAGGGTGCATAAAAAACTTTAAATAACAATTAGAAAGAGAAAATAAAGTGGAAATCAGTCTGTGCTGTGATTCACACTTGGACTGTGAATACGCTATAACTGCTTAATCAGAACATCTGTGATTTGGGCCAAGTTAAACCAATATAATAAAAATATACAGAAAGGAAATGAGTCTTGAACCAGAGCTTTTTTTTGGCAGCCAGAGGGACAGAATTAAATTAAAAACAAATAAACAAACTGCTGATGAATCTCCATCTCTTAAATGCTAATTGTATTGTTTTGAGGGCAAAATCTCACAGGCCAAATGTTCCACACTTTCCGCTACAAAGAATTACATATATTCTCAAAGACTGAGAGTTTGGGGAGCATTTTTGAAAGATTTGTATCCAAGAAAAAGCCAGCCGGAATAACTGATTTGTATAAGCTATGCAGTGGATATAGATTCTCTTTCTCTTTCACTGTTGATATTAATGTTCAATAAAGATGAACCCCCCCTCCCACCCCTAAAAAAAAACAAAACATGTTTCTCCTTCTTAAAGAACATCACAAAGTGCATGAGTCTATGTTGATGTGTGAGAGTGAAAGCCAAGGCATGCCAATGAGACATGGAGTGCGTCTCCAACATGTTAGATAACAGCTGTTGTCTGCAGCACGTTGATAAGCAGGTCGCACCGAGCGGGACATGGCAGCATTTTCCTCAAGAGGTAAATGAAGAAGAAGAAGCAGCTAAAAATACGACAGCGGCAGACAACAAACATCCTGACGAGAGGCATCACACATGTCGAAGCGCATCATTTAACACGCTTGGATATGAGAAAACTGCCATTATCACTCCACTTAAAATTCAACTCCTCGTGTCAGTTATTTTTCCAATTACAATTAGAAAACAAGATATTAAAGATAAAACTAATATTGGTGGTCTCGTTCTCCAGTGCAACCCTTTCCTTCACAACTGTGCACTTTATCCCCTCTCTAAAAAGCTGAGCTCACTCTGGGCAGCAGTTTTGCAGATCTTTCTTTGGACAACCAAATGCAAATTTAATTGAACCCCAATACATCTTTCTTTTATTTGTGTTTTTAGGATTTTCTAAAGCAACGATTACCAAAAACCTCTGAAATCAGATGCGCTCTCCGTATTGGGAAAAAAAACAACCTTATCTAGGGCTTATTTTGAGTTTGCCTTTAACAGCAAATGTCTTTCTCACCCTCAACCTGTCTTGGCAGAGTGTCGCCCCTCCCTGAGCCTGGTTCTGCCAGAGGTTTCTTCCTGTTAAAAGGGAGGTTTTTTTCTTCCCACTGTCGCCAGTGCTTGCTTATAGAGAGTCGTTTGATTGCTTGGGTTCTCTCTTTATTATTGTAAGGTCTTTACAGTACAAAATAAAGTGCCTTGAGGTGACTTTTGTTGTGATTTGGTGCCAAAATGTAATATTTTATAACAGACTAAATTATGAAGATTGATGTGTTTGACAATCGGAAGGAGCCTTGCTAATAAAGCACATTTCCTGTTTTAAATATTACCACTTAGTTTATATTAGTTGAGATGCAGTTATTGTGTTAAGTGAGCAATAAATTACTGCATATGCACTATATACTTGTGATTTAATACAAGTTTTGTAGAGACTTGGTAATAAGTCTGACTCTACTAAAGCCAACATTTGGATATGCTATGACTGACAGAGATACACACTATAAGGCTAAAAGTACTCGCTCGCCTGCCTTCACATGCATATGAACTTGAGTGACATCCCATTTTTAATCCATAGGGTTTAAATGATGTCAACCCACCATTTGCAGCTATAACAGCATCAACTCTCCTGGGAAAAGTTTTCACAAGTTTTACGAGTACATGTCTATGGGCTTCCAGAATCGCATTTGTGAGGTCAGACACTGATACTGGTCAAGATGTCCTCTCTAGTCTCCGCTCTAATTCATCCCAAAGGTGTTTTGTCGTGTTGAAGTCGGGACTCTGTGCAGGCCAGTCAATTTCTTTCACAGCAAACTCACTCATCCATGTCTTTATGGCCCTTGCTTTGTGGACTGGTGCACAGTCACATTGGAACACGAAGGGGCCATCCTCAAACATCCTTCAAAGTTAGGAGCATGAAACTATCCAAAATGCCTTGGTATGCTGAAGTATTAAGAGCTCCATTCACTGGAACTTAGTAAAAGGATGCAGTGAAGACCCTCCAATTAGCTCAGACAGATGCAGTGGTCTAAAGCACCACTGCAACCAAAGCTTTGGATTGTGCTTGGTGATGTAAGGCTTGGATACAGCTGCTTGGCCATGAAAACCCATTCCACGAAGCTCTCTACCGACTGTTCTTGATCTAATCTGAAGGCAACATGAAGTTTGGAGGTCTGTAGAGATCTACAGAAAGTTGCTGACCTCTGTGCACTATGCTCGTCAGCATCCGCTGACCCTGCTCTGCGGTTTTATATTGCCTACCACTTTGTAGCTGAGTTTCTATCATTCCTAATAACTTCCACTTTGTTATAATACCACTAACAGTTGAATTTGGAATATTTCACAACTGGACTCGTCACGTATTTGGAATCCTATCACTGTATCACGCTGGAATTCCTGAGAACAACCCGTTCTTTCACAAATATTTGTAGAAGCGGTCTGCATGCCTAGGTGCTTGATTTTTATACACCTGTGGACATGGAAGTGACTGGAAGACCTGAATTCAATTACATGGATAGGTGAGTGAATCCCTTTGGCAATACAGTGTATGTCTTTCCCTGTTATATTCATTAATATATGCCTATGCTTCAGTAGATGAAACATTTGTTAAAAAACAAACAAACAAAACCTTAGTGGATCTTGAAATATTTCTTTCTTCTTTTAACAGCTGGGTCTACTCTGAATGTAATTCAGTTTCTTTGCATCTTTCTGAAAAATAAAATTCAGCCAACAGAAAATGCAAATGTTTAAAAATGGAGAAATCTTTGTCAGCAGAAAAGTTGAAGCAGGTTGAATGCATACGAGAACATGCAGCACCTGAATGAATAAACACATGAATAAATGAATATGTCAGTGAAAGCCTGTCTGACTCACTGGGCTGCTTCACATGTATACATGAAGTACTAGCCTCTAATGTGCAAGTCATTCACAAACAGCTGTGTGAAGCACCTAATCTCGATGGTTTCAAACTACAGAGATCAGTTCTGTGTCAGTCTCAACACATACACACTCTTTTAAAACATATCGAGAGGCCAAAAGCCTACAAACCCACCGCAATTAGAACACTCCGCGACGACAGCAGCTTCCTGTTCTGGATAAACAGCTACAGCTACAAGTCACTGTATATCTGTTGCTTATCAAGAGGGAAATGTTAGCACCGCAATCACTTTCTTTCCTTCCTACTTTGTTTCACAAACTTCCATCAGTCTCATTTTCAGGCCATCACTCGCATAGCTGACTGCATATTAACACAGAAACACAGCAAAACCCCATAAGAGCCTGCACTCAGCTCTTAGTCATCATCACCACTGAATGCGGCTAATAGCCAGCTGAGTAGACCTCTTAAGGCAGCTGAGCCAACACACATGATGATGTCTCTTCTTCACTAAAATTCATTGACACCAGTGTTACAGCTTCTCAATGCTGCCAGTTATTCTCCGTTTCTATTTGGGCTGGGAGATCTTCTCTGTAGTCCAACAGACATTTATTAACTCCAGTGTCATTGCTAATAAGTGAGATAATCACTGGATGAGTTTAACACTGCGCGGTTAAGATTTTAACACCTGCCAGGTCATTGGTGATTGGTCTTGGGTTAAGGTTAGTTTTTATTTTCCCCACATGGAAAATGGTCAAATTCTCAGAAACAGAAAGATGTTGCCTTTCAAGTGAAGTGTCATGTTTTCATTTTGACATCACAGTTTTCCTTTTAAAAATGTTTTCCATTTGGGTATTCCAAAAGTCAAAAGTACATCATGACTAACCTTTACCCTTAACACACACACGCACACACAAACACACAATACAACACTGCGGAGAGTGTAAGAGTGTTTACAAGATCTTTTGAGTGTTTACTTCCTACTTCAAGTATGTTGACAAAGACTACATACCATAATCATTGGATACCACAGCTAATGTTTTTATGCTTCTCACTTTTGAATCTTTAACTTAAGGCATTGAATTTTCTAAATGGCCACAATTTTTCAGTTTAGGGAAACATACTCTTTTTTTTTTTTTATGTGCACGTTTTTGAACAATGGGGAATTTAAATGCCCAACTTGGTCTCAGTTTAGACAAAAAACAAACAAACAAACATGTAAACAAGAATTTAAAAAACACCAGACACGATGGAGCTATTGTGGAAAAATATAAGCACCAGTGTCTGAAAATAATGTAAAAATATTACTCCTAAGCTCAGGATTTCTATGCAGCCAACGATGATGAGACTCTAATATCATTCAAAAAGTGCAAATCTAATTGATGCTTAAAAAATGACTTGTTATCATCAATTTTCAAATGGCTAACAAAACACTTCTTTGTAACAACCATTACAAAAGAGTATGCATGCCCATCCTGACACGTGTGTCGAATTCTCAACCATTTCCCTGAAATATCAACTTATGTGCTCCACCCAGATTCAGTTAAACAGCTAAAAAGATACCAGGCCATCATATTTGTTTGGCTCTTTTTGACTCCCTCACAGTCTCCTTTCAACCATCTCAGGCTCAAATTAAACTTTTTGTTGCTAATGCACAACCAAGTCCTGCAGTGGTACTTCTGAGTAAAAAACAAAAAACAAACTCATAAAATATGTATGTGGGGTAATCAGGTTGTTAGTTTTTAACTGTTGCAAATCTGCAACGCCTGCCTCGAGAGGGTTAATGTGTCCCACCTGTTTGTCCTTCGCTGGTTTCCTCCACAGCGGATTCTTTTCACCAGCAAACACAAAGCCCTGTGAAAAAGAATGAAAAGAGGCCACTAAGTTTTAAACACAAGTTAAAGTTTTTCCTTACTCTATGATGAGAAATGAGTATATTCGCTCCAGATACACATACATTCATTTCAAAGTGTGAAGAGTTGCGAGCATTAACTTGCACATAACCATGTCGGTTACATGCCAGCATGCTAACATGAAACTAGCGTGGCTGATTAGATTTATTATCAATCTAATTATAATGATGACATTCAATTAATACGCTGACAAGAAGATGAGTTGGAAAAAAAATCCCCTTGAATCCCCTCTAACGATCATCTGACCTTTAGATCATCCTCCATCGACACAACCCTAGTTTATCAGTCTTCCAGTGTCCACTGTCTCTTTTAAAATAGGGGCCAGTTTCAATTTCTCATAACATGCACGACTGAAGAGCCAGCAGACCAGACAACAGTTGAGACTCACACCAGTCTTATCAAAGCATCTTGTGCAGGGGTTTTTGCATCACAATAATGCAAATGCAGCTTCCTTTATAAGAAAAAGAGGATATTAAAATTAATGGTAACACTTTCTTGCAGGGAAACTGAGCAGCACTGCAGATTTTTACAACTTGGGTCAGTAACCTTTTACATCATAGGAACTTTTTCATATCTCCAGGATGTCACAGTACTGTTCCTATTGGCAATGCAAACCCAAATAGAAAAAAACCCCACACATCCCGAGGATGTAGTTATTCCCCAGTGACTATGGAGTTCAAAAGCACTTTGCAAGCGACAAATTTCAATTAGAAGACATAGAAAAGAGTTGCATTTAAGCATAAATATTGATTTAAATACCACAGAGTACCGACAACAACACAGTCTCCTCTCTATTCAATTGTGTAACTTCCATTTGTGTAATCAATATCTTCCACTTATCCAAAGTTGATTTGTGGTGGCAGCATGCTGGGGAGGATGTTCCAGTCATCCTTCTCCCCTACAACTTCTTCCAGTTCCTTATGAGATCCTGAGGTATTCCCAGGCCAAACCACCTTGACTGGCTCCTTGCAACACGGAGGAGCAGCAGCCCTATTCCAACGTCTCTCTCTAAGGCCAGCCCAGCTACCTTCTAGGAGAAGCTCATTTCAATCGCTTGTAATCAGTCTTATTCTTTAGTTCATTTCCAAGATCTCATGACCATACTGTAGGTCACAGTTGCAACACAGACAGTCTGTTAAATCAAAAGTTTATAAAACTTTACCTATTTTATCTAATGGGGGAATGATCTTAATAATGCAGATGAGTTAAGAGTGTGTAAAAACATGTCTCTCCAAAGCAAAGTGTCTCAAATTGAAGAGCATAACAAGTATAATTTCCACAGGCAGCATGTATAAATCCCAAACGCAGAAAACGTATACACAACACTGATGCATTAAGGCCTTTAGTTTCAGACTGCGCTTTCCAGTGTGGTTGTGGGCATATAGAGCTGCTGTGGGCTGGGAAATAAAAAAATCAATCACTCAGTCAATAAAAACAATACATTTTTCTTTCCGTTTATTCCTCGTGGAACTTACTGTTAAACTATTTTTGTCCAGCAAAATGTCTGATGTTAACTTTGAGGCTGGAGTCAATGTGGACTAAACGGGCACTTCAGTCGAACCCTGCTGACATCAGGCGTCTGATGGGAATATAAAGCCCATAGATGTGAAACCAACCCTTTGTTTTAAGAGATTTCAGCCCCCTCACAGGGATGTTTGCCTCCACTTAGATTGTTTTTTTTAGTGGTATTCATGGAACAGTTTTGTTAGCAGCCAGCTTGTTTACTTCTGGACTGGACCTAACAGTGATGTTATCAGCTGTGGGGAAAATTTGGAAACAACAAGTCAGAGGAAAACTTGTTGTTTGGCAACTCAGTACTCGAGTTCATGTTTAAAAACAGCTTAACAGCTTCATCCCCAAATCAAAATGACCTACTTTCTTCTCTGTAATTCACACCAAAGCAAAAAAAGTTCCCTCCTGTCTAATGGTTCTCTGCAGGTTGCTCAGGTTGTTTTTGTTGTGCCTTATCCCACTGTCAGACATACTCCAATTTGGCGACGGTAGTATGCTAGAGAGCCTCCCGGAACTGGAGCTGGAGGGGCCACTTTCGCCACAACCTGGAGTAGGTGGAGAGCTGGGACCACTACACTGAGCTCAGAGCAAAACAAGGACTTTAGTCGCCAGCTACAGCACAAGATGACAGAGCTGGAGTCCATCCACGGGGTGAGAAACATGTTCGAGAGGCAGCTGAGGGGCACAGTTTAGTGTCTTAAAGCATTTATGGTATTCTGTCACGAGTCTCTCTTCACGAGTAAATGGAGGCGTTGTTCTTCACAGCATTGCATTTGGTGGGTGTAGTCTGATAGAAAGAAATGAGTTCCTATATGAACTGTGAACATGTTTTTTTTCCCCCTTTCTGCAAATAAAGCGCCATCTGATCCCAGTATATTATAGAGAAAGGCAGACATCTCTACAGCCGATATCTCCAAAAACTGGGCAACAGTTTTGCAATATTTCAACACAATAAAAGCAAAAAGCAAATTCTGGGGTCCAAGCATTTAATTAGGGCTGTGCAATATGACCAGAATCTCATATCCCGATATAAAACATCTATCGTCCCGATAACGATATAAATCACAAAAAAATTTATATTTTCTGTAAATTCTGTGAATCTCGGGTAGGTGAAGTGTTTCCAGCTGGGCGTCGTGTAGCTGGAGTCGAGTGTTTTAACCGATGCATGAAACTACACATTTTTAGACATAGGTTGTAACAGCCGCCGTTTTCTTTGTGAGTATTTATTACACGGCGTGCTGCGGGGAAAAGCCTGTTCTAACGTTTGAGTCTAAGGTTTATTTTTTAGCACCTGACGGCTCTTTTTTGCTTCTCATCCGTCAATACTCTGCATACTTTTTCACGTGATTCCGTTTATTTTGAAAAGTCTCCACAAGATCTTGAGCTTTATTGTGAAAGGTTTATGTGGAAAATAAACAAGAGGACATGTGATGGTTTTACCGTCGTTGTTGCTAACGACAGCGCATAAAAACAGGCGCTTGTCCGTCCGTAGTGTGGTTATATTAAATATAAGAGAAAGAGAGAACTTTAAGAAATTAATATACTGTAGCCACTACAGTGACCATCAAAACCATGAAAAAAAAATATTGCCGTAAAGTTTATTTTGCGACACCACGAAACAAACGATAGCGTAAAATGAAACGATAGACGTTTTTATATCGTCATCCGATATATATCGTTATATCGAACAGCCCTACATTTAATCATACTTTCCCCCCCCCCTATTCTATAACAAACCCATCAGCCTCTTTCAGCCCTCATCAGTGAAGCAGCACATTACTCAGCCTCAGATGACTGTTGGTGGAGCATCTTGTGACTGAGAGCAGAGCGGAAAAAAAAAAAATCCTCACAGTCTGCTGTTTGTTGGGCTGAAAACCAGCTGGACAATGTGACACCAAACATTCCTGGGTTTTGTGAAAAATAACTGTTCAGGCTGACAGAGTGGAGAGTGTCTGAACACAGAAAACACAAGCTGCCATTCATACCAGTGGATGGGAGGAGTGTATCTAACAGTCCAATCGGTGAGCAGCTGAATGTGTGACAGGGTCAAATTCACAAGAGGAATGTGACCAAGGAAACATGTTTCTGTCTCGAGTGTTCAGGACAAGTATCCACGGCAGTGTTGGCAACATTTTTTCCTCAGAGGGCCAGACTGAGTTAGATAGAGTAAGCAGAAGGAAACAAAGTGCTTAAAATCCACTAGAAAATTCCTGAAAAAATTATGAATGTGCCAGTGTCCCTATTTCTGTGTAAAATAGGTTTGCAGAGATTGCAGCAAATATTGTAAGGAAAATGTAGACAGCTGGAAACTAGAAACAGATTTTAATTGTTTATGTTAATATCCTGATAAAAGTTATTTTCGAGTTTCCCAAAAGCTAAAAGATCCATGGATCTGAATTTTAGGCAGAAGAAGGAGAATAATAATAAGAAGAAGAAGATAATGACAAAAATCTGACAAATAATAAATAGTCAGCCTTAATGCTATTGCACTGACGCACTCAATTAACTTTGACAGTCTTGATAGATTGCTTTAAACTGTAAAAGCCAAAGAATGTTGACTTTTCTCTGTCAGGCTGTTATGAAATCCGCTTAAATGCCTAATGCATGTATTAATATGCATGTTTGCATCAATGAATGAATAAAGAATGAATACATGATCATAGTCGTGGATATGACTCAGGGTGCATACCTGAACCAAACGGCCATCATAGTACAGACCTGCATCACTGAATCAAGAAAATCAGCTAACACCATTTCCCATGCACATACATTACTGATTAGGGCCACTCAGACATATTTGTTCCTTCATCCGAGACAACAAGGACTCTATTGAATGATGTCCTCACGCTTGTATTGAAAGTACACTGACTGCTCCCATTTCGCATTCCCCCCCAAAGTTCCATTTAGTACTGCAAACTGTGCATTGGACCTCAGCACTATCCTGACACTCTTGTGCCTGGATTGCTTAATCTAAACAGGATTCAAGTTCATCTAATCACAAGTACTGGTCTTACAGTTATGGGTGTGGTTTGGTACTGAGTGAACCTGTTACCCTGTGTAGAGCTTAGGCCTCTAAATTAACTTTCATTATTAAAAAACTAATTTAGCAATAATCTTTGGACAAACAAGTAAAAAAAACATGAAACAATTCAATAAAAACAAAAAACAAACAAATACTAAGTGTGGCAAAAACTACACACAAATTGTGTTCCCCTTGTCATTTTGACTTTATGACTACTTTATGACTTTATATGGTGGCTCCTATCAAATGAATGTGGACTGAGTGTACAGAAATTTATGAATTTGCAGAAAGGGGAAAAAAAAAGTTGGAGAACCAGTTCAAAGACACTCAAAACCAAAATACCTATTAAGTAAGTTAATGACACACACGCACTGATATCAGTGCAGGTAAAAAATAAATAAATAAAA